GGGGGGTGGATGGACAAGGCTGCCTCATGCAGTTGTCGTCCCCCCACCCCCACCCTGGGAGAGCCTGCACTCCTCTCCCTGCCTGTAAAGGTGATGCATCTCCGTGTTCACTCTGAACCCTAATGATGGCTCAGTGCTGTGCTCCAGTTTGGGCTTTCCTTGGGGAGGAGAGCCCCCAGTTTGAGGCACTGTTGTCCCAAGGAAATGGGGGTGAGCCCCCAGCCCCATCCCTGTGGTTTTCCCTCCTGGCAGCCCCACAGTTCGTGCCTCAGTTTCCCTTGAGCTGGGGAGAGGTGGGGTGGATCCCTCCTGTTCATGCTGCAGGGAAACTTCCACCCTGCCAAAATAATGGGGTGTTCCAGCATGGGAATAATACAGAGAGAGGAAACTGAGGCACAGCACAGAGAGGAGGAGCAAATCACTCTTCATAAGAGGGTTTTGGTGCTGGAAGAGGTGTGGATTTGAGCCCTGTGTGTTCACAGTGCTGAGCTCAGGTCTGAGCCCCTCCCAGGTGAGGTCAGAAAGGTTCACTTTGGGATTTGGGGCTGCTCAGCACTGGGTGCTGCATGGGATCCCAATGTCCTGCAGGAGCCCAACCCCAAACCTGGGAACCCCCATGACCTCTATGAGCAGTCCCCCCCTCCAGCAGCACCATGGATCACTATGGGGAAGGTTGGGGAAACGGGGGGGGGCCGGGCTTTGGCTGGCTATGGGAGGGAATAATGCTCCAACAGGGGGTCAAGGTGGGGGCTGGGGGTAATCCCTGCACAAACTGTGCTCCCAGTGATGGGGTTGGGGGACTCGCTGCTCATTTTGGGGCGCTGGGGAGCACAGCCCCAATGGAAACACTCAGGAATTGGGGCATTTGGAGCCCAGTGCCCCAGGGAGGAGCGCGGTTACCAAACCTCACCGGCGTGGCACCGGGTTGGGTCCAGCCCTCGGGACAAGGTGGGTCGGAGATTATGGAGGTTAAGAAGTAAAAATCCTTTTTTCCCCTTTAGCATCCATCTGCATTTCTCCTCCGACCTTCTTCTGGTTGCAGCAGTCCAGGGTGAAGGACCTGAGAGCTCAGATTTGCTCAAAGCATCCCCAAAACTCAATGGATGGATGGACGGATGGGTGGGTGGGTGGGTGGAGGGATAGGGGGATGGAGGGGGGGATGGATGGACGGATGGACAGATGGAGAGATGGATGGATGGGTGGATGTAGAGAGGGAAGGACGGACAGAAGGATGGATGGGTGGATTGAAGGGGAAAGGGAGGGAGGGAGGGATGGACGGACAGATTGAGGGATGGCTGTTGGAGGGAGGGAGCAAGGGAGGGATAGAAGGATGGATGGATGGATGGATGGATGGATGGATGGATGGATGGATGGATGGATGGGTGGATGGATGGAGCAATGGATGGATGGAGCAATGGATGGATGGAGCAATGGATGGATGGATGGACGGACAGCTAGACGGCTGGATGTGGTCACTTTGGGTGCTGCTGGTTTGTGTCCCCTCCAGCCCCTACTCATGAATTAGGGCTGGTTAAAAAGGCCCTCCAAAGATCACAGAGAGAAGGGATTTATGCCCCGTCCTTGTCCCAAAAGTGAATCCAGATGACCACTGGGGAAGAGCTGCTCTTCCCTTTGTAGCTCACTTGGGTTCTTGCCACGTCTCTGTCCCCCCCTCTCCCATCCAAATCACTTCCCTGGATGGATGCAGCACTTCCAGGCAGCTCTGCCATCCAGAACTCCAGAAATTCTCCCAAAAGTGCCAGCGTTGCCCCCAAATTTGGGCCCCCCCCCCCCATCATATCCTTCCATTTCCACCCCGCTCTGCATCCTCTGCCTCCTGCCACCTGCGTGGGCTTCTTTAGGGACGAATCACCTCCATCAATATCCTAAAGAACAGCAGCAGGAGGCGACGGCTGGGATGTGGGGAGGGGGTTATG